AGTTGAGGAGTGAACTAGTTGATGTAAGATCCTTCTTTCTCTACCTCCCTCTCTCTATGCAACTCTGCCTTTCAAATAAATAAATAAATGTTTGAAGAAAAAAATACAAATCCAAATATATTGTGTTAAGGGGCTGGCATTGTGATATAGCAGGTAAAACTGCTGCCTGTGATGCCCACAACCCTTACAGGTGCCAGTGTGAGTCCCAGATGCTCCATTCCCTGCTCCCCCCCCCCTTTTTTAAAGAATTCTTTTAAGATTTTTTTTATTTATTTGAAAGTCAGAGTTACACACAAAGAGAAGCAGAGGCAGAGAGAGAAAGGTCTTCCATCTGCTGATTCACTCTACAATTGGCTGCAATGGCTGGAGCTGCACAAATCCAAAGACAGGAGCCAGGAGCTTCTTCTGGGTCTCCCAAGCAGATGCAGGACCAAGGACTTGGGCCATCTTCGGCTGCTTTTCCAGGCCATAGCGGAGAGCTGGATCGGAAGTGGAGCAGCTGGGACTCAAACTGGTGCCCATATGGGATGCAGCGCTGGCCCTAATACACCACTTCTGATCCAGCTCCCTGCTAATGCACCTGGGGAAGCAGCAGAAGTTGGCCCAAGTTGTTGGGACCATGCACTAATGTGGGAGACCCAGAGGAAGCTCCTAGCTCCTGGCTTTGGGCTGAGATGTGGGGAGTGAACCAGTAGATGGAAGATCTCCCTCTCCATCTCTTCACTCTCTCTCTGTAAACTCTGCCTTTCAAATAAATAAACCTTTTTTTAAAAATTGTGTTAAGCTAAATAAATAAAATATGAAAGAGTATGTATTGCAGAGCTGTGGTTTTCTGGTGGGGTGGAGAATGACTGGAAGTAGTCACAAGGGAATTTTCTGTGGTGATAGAAGTGCTGTATATCTTGATTGTGGTGTTGTCACACAGGTGTATTCATTTGTCCAAACTTATTAAATTGTACACTTAGATGGGGGCATTTCATTTAAGGTAATTTTTACTTTACAAAAAAAAAGCAAGAGATTTACCATGTTTTAGAATTCATGTTTTAATGATATAATGAGACATGAACGACATAAGTGATATCCCTAAAGTATGAACATCTTGTTTCTGGAATTCAAATAATAATAAAAATATTAATAAATCCATCTCAGTGAAGATATACAAATTGGGTCTTGAAGGATGGATAGGAGTTTGCCTAGTAGATAGTAGGAGGTCTTTTTTTTTTAAAGATTTATTTGTTTATTTGAAAGGCAGAGTTACAGAGAGGCAGAGGCAGAGAGAGCTGGATGGGAAGTGGAGCAGCCTGCACTCAAACTGGCGCCCATATGGGATCCTGGCACTATAGGCGTTGGCTTTTCCCCCTATGCCACAGCGCCAGCCCCTAAGAGGTCCTTCCATGCAAAGCAAATGGACATGCAAACGTACATGATTTTTTTTTTTTTTGACAGGCAGAGTGGACAGTGAGAGAGAGAGACAGAGAGAAAGGTCTTCCTTTGCCGTTGGTTCACCCTCCAATGGCCGCCACGGCCGGCGCACCACGCTGATCCGAAGGCAGGAGCCAGGTACTTCTGGTCTCCCATGGGGTGCAGGGCCCAAGCACTTGGGCCATCCTCCACTGCCCTCCCGGGCCACAGCAGAGAGCTGGCCTGGAAGAGGGGCAACCGGGACAGAATCTGGCGCCCCGACCAGGACTAGAACCCGGTGTGCCGGCAATGCAAGGCGGAGGATTAGCCTATTGAGCTGCCGTGCCTGCCACGTGCATGATATTAACTAACTATAGTATGTGGGGTAGAAGTGAAAAGGAAGAGCTTAAGAGCAAATTACTTAGGGCATTTTTCAGTAATTGAGGCATTGGGCCTCCAAGACACAAACCAACAGAAAGATTTAGCAATCCATTGTTATGATAAGTGCATCTTTCAGTAGTATAGAAGGTATCTTAAAATAAGGAGAAGCTTATTTATCCTATTAAAAAAAGAAACCAATTTATCCTAATGCTCTTATGCCTTTTGAACAAAACCACTCTGTCCATAACCCCTGTTAGAGTGTGTATTTTTTGTTACCTATGGAGTGAACAGCCCTGGAGTTTTCTTTGCGTTGCCTAGCAATGAGATACCTGCAGTTAGTGCTTCCCCATAGTGGCTAGCAGGTAAACAAAGCTTTATTTCTTCTTCTTTTCTTAAATATTTATTTATTTATTTGAAATGCAGAGTTACAGAGAGAAAAGGGGAGTCAGAGAATGACACACACACACACACACACACACACACAGAGAAAGAGAGAGAGAGAGAGGGAGGGAGATCTTCAATCTGCTGGTTCACTCCCCAGGTGGCCACAACAGCCCTGGCTGAGCCAGACCAAAACTAGGAGCCAGAAGCTCCATCTGAGTCTCCTACATGGGTGGCAGTGGCCCAAACACTTTGCTCATCTTCCACTTCTTCTACCAGGCCATAAGTGGAGAGCTGGATCCCAGGAGGAGCAGCCGAGACACAAACTGGCAGCCAATATGAGATGCTGGAGTTGCAGACGTTGGCCTTACCTGTTACAACACAACGCTGGCTCCGCCTTAGTTCTGACATGATATCCAGATGCTTTCAGCATGGGAATGCAACTCTCCAAAGCAGCTGGTGCGCAACACCATCCTATTTGTCTCCCACTTATGAGGACAGCCTCACGCTTACCTTAAAAAAGGAAGAGCACCGTGGAGGTAGCGCCTCTCTTTCTGGTGTGCAGAAATCATTTTTCCAGCTAGCCCAGCTATACCTCTGCAGATGACAAGCCTTTGCTAGTATTTTCAGGAAGTCCATTGGCCCAAGAGTTTTCCAAACTTTCCACAGCTGATTGGACCACGAGTGGTTGCTTAACCCAAGAGTAGTCAATCTATAGTTTGTTCAGTAGCTGACAGTTTATAGACTGGAATGAAAACAGTGAGTTGCATCAGTGAGATTCTACCTTTGTGGGAGAAGGAGGAGGGAGTAAGAAGCACAAAAAGGCTTGGCCATGTAGCGACAGGAGCAGTTGCTAGGAAGAGCATCAGCAAGCAGACCAAGGGCTGTGGCAAGCACACGCTATGTATGAAAGGAAGCTAAGAGAAAACTGGGAAAAGGAGGGTGAGCCATTGTGCAGAGGAAAGGAAGAGTGGCATGGTCTCACATTGGTCTTAGTTTGAGAGGAGGTGACTTCCAAGGTAAGTTTTAGGTCCCCTAACTTATCTGCCTCCTTCTTGGACTACCCCATACCCTTGGACATTTTCTCTTTCCTTTTAACTTGACTGGATTTTTGTTCCTTGCTCTGTGAAAGCCTTTGGGATGCTATGGTAGCTATTGTTTGGGACTTCCTGGTTTTGTGTCTTGCAGCTATATCTTTCAAAATATGCTTCTTCCTCTTTTTTTTTTTTTTTTACAAGTTCACTGCACTTGAAATATTTTCCATTTTTCTTTTCAAATTCCCCCAACATGGATCCTGACCCAATAGGCACCCAATCCTTTCTCCATCTCACAATGGCCACAGGAAAGAAAGGTATGCTCAGCTTTTGAAAATAGAAGATGAGGCCGGCGCTGCGGCTCACTAGGCTAATCCTCCGCCTTGCGGCGCCAGCACACCGGGTTCTAGTCCCAGTGGGGGCACCGGATTCTGTCCTGGTAGCCCCTCTTCCAGGCCAGCTCTCTGCTGTGACCCCTGGAGTGCAGTGGAGGATGGCCCACCCCTGCATCCCATGGGAGACCAGGAGAAGCACCTGGCTCCTGCCTTTGGATAGGCGCGGTGCGCCGGCTGCAGCGGCCATTGGAGGTGAACCAATGGCAAAGGAAGACCTTTCTCTCTCTCTCTCTCTCACTGTCTACTCTGCCAGTCCAAAAAAAAAAAAAAAAAAAAAGAAACCTATAATGTAACAGTTTGAACTGCAAATAGGAAAATAACAAATCCAGAGCACTTGCAACATACCGGGTGCTGCATCGGGCACATTACATATGCACTAGCTGATTCTTTGAACAGTACATCTAGAAATCATTATCTCTATTGACAAATGAGGAAACTGAGGCTTCCAAGTTAAGAGGCTTGGCCAAAGTAACACAGTCGGTAGCGGTCAGAAGGTCCATCGACGAAGCGCCTGCTCTGCAGCCCACGCTGCGCTGGCCTCCCCCTCCTGCCCCGTTCAAGAGAGAGCACACCGGGGCGACCTCTGACAGTGCGAGGGCAAGACTTGCAACCCTAGGATGCTCCAATGCCGGAGCTGGGAAAGATACAGAAGCCCCAACGGGTGCTGTGGCCGCGGGAGGCGAAGGTGCAGCTAGCCAAGCGTCCAAACGCGAGCGGAGAGCAAGGAGCCAGTTGACTTCAGTCGTTTGAAGCTCCAGCGCGACGTTGGTGAAACCCGACTCTGCCGGGGCGGCAAGCAGAGGCCAAGCGTTGATGAGCGCAGTTTCAGGGAGTTGGAGGGAGCGCGGAACGTGAGTAGACCTTGGGGCAGGTGCTGTCAAAGGAAGGGAAGGAGCTTGGAGTTAGAAGGGGTCCTTTACGAGGAAGAACACGCTTTGCACCGCACAAAGCAGGCACCTTTCCCTCTAAAATAACTAACGAGGTCGCTGAGGGACCCAGCTAACCATACACCTGTGCATAGGCGAAGGGTGGGAAATATAGGCCACTCGTACTTGAGAGAAGACAGTGAAATCTCTGGAGATAAAAGGAACGCTCCGCCCTAGCACCTGATGGACCAGGATCGAACGGTTAACTGCAGATCTGGAAATCCCTAGATGTGTGTTGGAAGAGCCCTTGTCCCCATTTGACGGATTCGCAGCCGCAGCGGCAGTAACTCGCTCCAAACCCAGCCGCGGAGACGCCCTCCAGACCCCGGGCAGGCGCGCTCACCGCAGGCTGCGCTGGAGCTCGGCGGCCGGGCAGAGCGCGGCGCGGGGTGCCCGCGGTCCAGCCCCGGCGGCCGGGCCGCGCGCAGGAACTACACTTCCCAGTGTGCCAGGCGGGGCGCGGCGCGGCGCGGCGGGGAGGGCGCACGCTCCTTCCCAGAAGCAAAAGCGGAAACAAAAGAGTCTCGCCGGCGTCCCCGCCCGCACACTCGCGCTCGGGCGCACTCGGAGCAGCCACCGGCTCCCGGAGCGAGCCAGCCAGCGGCGAGCCGGGGACGCACCGGGCAGATCCAGCCGAGCAGCCCGTGAGCCGAGCCCGCGACCACCCACGCCCCCGAGCCCCACAGCCGTCCCCCGCCAGCCGGTGTCCCCTCTGCCCTCCCTGACCCATGGCGCTGAAGCGGATTCAGAAAGTGAGTGCCCGGGGCCGGGCCTGGGGCGACTGGGCGGGCTTCGGCCCCCTGCCCTCTCTGACCGGGCCGAGGCTCCCGAGAGACGCGCTGGGAGAGCACGGGGTGTGAGGGTGGGTCGGGGCGGGGGCAGAGGGCTGGAGGCGCCGACCGGCCCAGCAGGTACCCGGCAGGTGAGGTGGGAGCAGGGGACAGGTCCCTGGTGGCCGGAGGTGCTGTAGGACTCGGGCCCCTCCGCGCGCCCTCGCCGGAGCTGCGCTCGCAGTCTCTGGGTGGGGATTCTCCGTCGGTGTCCAGACCCTGCCCACATCTGTGCTTCCTCGGCCGCAGCTGGGTTCTCTGCCCTTCCCAGGGCTGGTTTTAGCCTCTGTCATGCCGTGTTTTCTCCGTGCTGTCCCTCAAGCCTGCCCTCTTTTATGTTCTTGTTCCCGCGGGCTCCCCAGGAGGGCAGGGAAGGTGTGGTGGGCCTACAGCCTTTCTCCTCTGGGCTGTCGGGTTTGTTCTTTCTGTGCTCTGCGGTTGGCTCTTTGCTCGGTTGCCCGAATGGGCTGCAAGAGCCCATTTGGGGCTGAGAAGCCAGGACAAGGCTCCTGCCCATTCTATTTTGGTACCTTTGCTGCTGCCACTTCAGGTCACATAGCTGTAGTGAAAACATAGTTGCTGATCCACAGCAAGATGACCTCCTGGCTGTGATTCACAGTGAATCAAGCCAAGCAGGTTTTTTTTTTATACCCCTCTGCATGATAAACTTCCATGTAAAGTTGAGGACACAACACAAACTGCCACAAATTAGATTGTTTTGATGCTTTGACATATGGGTGTAGAATGAGGAAGAAAGGTATATTATGTATTCATGGACCAAATAGTTACTCATCGCAAGTCTGTGTAAGGAATTGTCCTCATAGTCTTCCCTGCAACCTTTCAGATGTCAACATCTTATGAAATTGGATCTGGGGCATTGTTTTCTGTTTGCTTGTATTTCTCATTGGCTGATTTGGTCTGTTCACTGACCCAACTTTTAGAGGTTACAGTTCATTTTGGGACCATTGAGAATTTGTCTGTTAAATAGGGCATGCTTTCAGCAAGTTAAGCCAACGATGGACAGTGTGTTTTATAATTGATTTTAGAAGAAATTGATGCATACCAAAAATGTTATCAACTTTGTTAACCATGAGTCTATATGCCATGGTATGTGTTAGAGCAGTAAGAGAGGGTCTGTACATTGTGTTCTGACTCAACATTGGTGGTATCGTCAGGTACAGAGGACAGCAACTTTTATATCCAGCCAATTATTTTTTTTCCTTTTGATTCAAATACTAAATCCATGGATCACTGTGCAATTTAGAGTTATCTCACTATAAGATGTAGAATTGTGGTGCGCAGGTTAAGCCACCGCTTGCGACACAGGTATCCTGTATTAGAGTGCTGGAGCAGGTTCCAGCTACCTTGTTTCTGATGCACCTTCCTGCTAATGCACTTGAGAAGGTAGAGAATGATGGCCTTCTTGCTTGGGCCCTACCATCCATGTGGGAGACCAGGATGAAGTTCTTAACCCCTGGCTTCAGCTGTACTTAGTCCTGGCTATTGTGGCCATGTGGGAAGTGAACCAGCATATGCACAATCCTACTCGCTCATGCTCTCCCTTTCAAATAAATAAATGACTAAATAAATAAATTTTTTAAAGAATGTACTTACTACTTGATAATGTTTACATATTTTTAAAAATATAAATAATATACATTTTGAGTCACCAGTGTCTTTACCATCCCTAGAATCCTTACTAATGGTGATGTAATATTGGTTCACATTTGGATCAGACAGTACACGTTTCAAGGAAGTTTTCAAATTTTATTTCCTGTTTTTCTACTTGTGAGAATTTTTCACAAGACTTTACACCTACAATAGCTTTTAAATACTGTGGAATTCATCTAAGTAGACACGTAAAATATGGATACTGTAACTATAGTACATCATATGTACCAATTTTTTTTTTAAGATTTAGCATTTGCAAGTCAGAGTTACACACACACACACACACACACACGCACACACGCACACACACAGAGAGAGAGAGAGAGAGAGAGAGAGAGAGAAAGAAAAAGAAACCATCTGCTGGTTTACTGCCCAGATGGCTGCAGTGCGATGGGCCAGGCTGAAGCCAAGAACCAGGAGCTTCTTTCGGGTCTCCCACATGCGTGGCAGGGGCCCAAGCACTTGGGCCATCTCCCACTGCTTTTTCCAGGCCATTAGCAGAGAGTTGCATCTGAAGTGGAGTAGCTGGGACATGAACTGGTGCCCATTTGGGATGCCAGCGTTGCAGGTAGAGGTTTTACCTGCTATGTCACAATGCCACCCCCACCACCCCCACAACCTTTGTAAAGTACTTACTGATTATTATTAGTGGGTTTTTTTTTTTTTTTTTTAGATTTATTTTATTTATTTGAAAGAGTTACAGGGAGAGGTAGAGATAGAAAGAGAGAGAGGTTTTCCATCCACTGATTCACTCCTCAAATGACCACAACAGCTGGAGCTGAACCGATCTGAAGGCAGGAGCCAGGAGCTTCTTCTTGGTCTCCCATGTGGGTGCGGGGGCTCCAGGACTTGGGCCATCCTCCGCTGCTATCTCAGGTGCATTAGCAAGGAGCTGAATCAGAAGTAGAGCTGCCGGGGCTCATACTGGCACCCGTATGGGATATTGGTGTTGCAGGCCAGGGCTTTAACCTGCAGTGCCACAGTGCCAGCCCCTATTATTAGTTTTTAACAATTATTAGCACAGAAATATCACTTACATAAATTGATTTCAGAATATCCAAAATTTTTAAAGATTGATGTATTTGGAAGGCAGAGTTACAGAGAGAGGGAGAGACAGAGAGGGAGAGAGATCTTCCATCTGCTGGTTCATTCCCTGAATGGCTGCAACTGACTGGGCTGGCCTGACTGAAAGCCAGGAGTCTGAAACACCAGCCTGGTCTCTCACACTGGTGTTGGAGGCAGCGGCTTAACCCATTGTGCCACAGTGCAGTGCCCCTCCTTGTCCCCATTGATATTTTACAGAAAAAGTTGGTGATCACACGACATCACATCACTGTGTGCCAGTTTTTGGCTTCCCATTTCTGTTATCAGAAAGCTGACTTGCACAGATCTCTTCCATAGCTCACACATTCAGGCTTTTCCCTCAGACCTCGAGGGTGGTTATTTTGACAGATTCTCCACTTTCCTCCCTTACTTATCTTGTTGATCAGAAACCAGTTCCAGGTCAGATATGCTATCTGCCATTGGAACAGTTAACAGAGCTCTCTTTGATAACATCAGTATACAAAATCTTATTTGAATCTTACATGTTCCAACAAATGAAGGTATGTATTAACTTTTTACCTTTATTTTTAAATGTTTTAAAGTAACACTGTCATAACTTTCAGGTCATTGGATTGTAATTTCTCTGTCCCTCAACCAGCAGGGCTGGTCTGAGCTCTGTAGAACCGCAGAGAAGTCTGCAGTGGTACAGCAGTAGGCCCCAGCAGCACAGCTGCTAGAGCAGTGCGTCAGGATCACCTGTGGGGCATTTGTACCCCTGCTGTAACTGGAGTGGTATTGAATCCATCAGGTGGACTAGGGTGGGAAGAAGGTTGTAAACTAACGATATGCTAGCCTATTATCCTTATTCAAAAAGAACCTGAGCCCTGCTCTGCGTAAAGTCAATCTCTTAAGTAATTTGAAGTGCAGACGTTTGTTGTAGCCCTTAAGACACTTCTTGGGACATTTATATCCCTAATCAGAATCCTTGAATTTGAGTCCTGGTTCTGCGTCTGATTCCAGCTTCTTGCTGACGTGCACCGTGGGTGGCAGAAGTGATGATTCACCTGGTTGGGCAGCTATCCGTGTTGGAGACCCCGGTTGATTTCCTGCCTCCTGTGTTTGGTCTGGCCCAGCCCTGGCTCTTGCAGGCCTTTGTGTGAATGAACCATAGGATTGGAGATCTCCATCTCTCTTTCTATGTCTTTCAAATAAATAAATAGAAATTTTTAAAAAAGGAATGATTTGGAATATTTGAGGATGTTAGAAAATTCTCAGTTTCACCTTTTTTCACTATGAGAAGGATAAAAGATGGTTGAATTAAAATTGTTTGTATGGGCGCAGGTGCTACGGCGTAGTGGGTAAAGCTGCCGCTTGTAGTGCTGGCATCCCATATGGGCACAGGCTGGGCTATTGGCTGCTCCACTTCTGATCCAGCTCTCTTCTATGGCCTGGGAAAGCAGTATAAGATGGCCCAGATGCTTGGGTCCTTACACCCACGTGGGAGACCTGGAGGAAGCTCCTGGCTCTGGGCTTCGGATCAGCTCCGGCTGTTGCGGCCATTTGGGGAGTGAACCAGCGGATGGAAGAAGACCTCTCTCTGTCTGCCTCTCTGTAACTTTGCCTTTCGTATAAATAAATAAATCTAAAAAAAAAAAAATGTATGTATGTGTGGGTAGGCATTTGGTATACAGTGGTTAAGACGCTGCTTGGGAAGCCTGCATCCCACATTGAAGTGCCTGGGTTTGAGTCCTGGCTCCACTTCTGACTCCAGATTCCTGTTAATGGAAACCCTGGAAGGCAGCAGGTAATGGCTCAAGTGTTTGTGTCCTTGCCACTCATGTAGGAGTTCCAGATTGAGTTCTGGGCTGCTGGCTTCAGCCTGCACCAACCCTGGCTGTTGGAGGCATTTGAGAAATGAAGCAGTGGATGGAAGATTTCTCTCTTTCTCTGCCTTTGAAATAAATAAAAATATATTATAAAATTAAAAATAAAAATTGTGTGTATGTACAAAGCACTTGTATGTACAAATGCTTAAAATATATTTTTGTACTAGAGAATACTACGTCATTTAATGCTCTAATTTAGACATCCTGTGCCAGTTTTGCATTTCAGCTCATAAATTTACACACCCATGCCCTATTTTTAGATACAGTGAAGGATGTTATCACAGTCACCTAAATCAGTAACAAGGAAAAAATTTGAACAAA